AAATACGTACGAATTAGCGTATTTTTCTTCACATATAGCAAGAAAAAAAACCATATGTAAAAAAATTAATCTTTTTTTTGATCAAGTTTATTAAAATGACCGTAAATGATTCAGTAGTTGTTCGATATTTAGGATTAGTTTGTAAATCCTACTTTCACGAATCAGTGGTCATATGTAGTCCCCAATTATGCATATGATGAATCACCATAACGTGGCTGATGATATGATGACTAATCCCACACATCAGATGATGAGGAGACGAGGACTTTTCGGTCTGTCCTGGGCCACTATCAAGTCCTGGGCCACTATCAAGTCCTGAGCCACTATCAAGTCCTGGACCACTATCAAGTCCTGGGCCACTATCAAGTCCTGGGCCACTATCAAGTCCTGGGCCACTATCAAGTCCTGGGCCACTATCAAGTCCAGGACCACTATCAAGTCCTGGACCACTATCAAGTCCTGAGCCACTATCAAGTCCAGGATCACTATCAAGTCCTGGACCACTATCAAGTCCTGGGCCACTATCAAGTCCTGGACCACTATCAAGTCCTGGACCACTATCAAGTCCTGGACCACTATCAAGTCCTGGGCCACTATCAAGTCCTGGGCCACTATCAAGTCCTGGACCACTATCAAGTCCTGGACCACTATCAAGTCCTGGACCACTATCAAGTCCTGGGCCACTATCAAGTCCTGGGCCACTATCAAGTCCTGGACCACTATCAAGTCCTGGGCCTCTATCAAGTGTCTGCCTCAGTCGGGAATCGAACCCGGACCCTTAGGTCTACGACCCCCGAGGTCCCCATGTGTGTGCGCGCGCGTACATGCGTGCGTGTGTGCGCGCGCACATGCGTGCGTGAGTGGAAGAACCAAACTGGCAATACTTCACTTGTGTGTGTGTACAGGTTCGATGCTCACGTGAGTCTAAGCAATGAAAGAAAAGCAAACATTGATTGGTGATTTACGTGCACCCAACAACACCCTTCCCAATCACTACCACCATCCCCCAATCACCACCATTCCTCAAGCTTCAGAGGACCTTATCTCAGTCACTATCTCTCGAGTTGTATCTTATCTATATGACCTGAAGTATCCACAGACCAGTTCTTGACCCAACTGGTGGATCCACAGACCAGTTCTTGACCCAACTGGTGGACCACAGACCAGTTCTTGACCCAACTGGTGGATCCACAGACCAGTTCTTGACCCAACTGGTGGATCCACAGACCAGTTCTTGACCCAACTGGTGGAACCACAGACCAGTTCTTGACCCAACTGGTGGATCCACAGACCAGTTCTCAGATCAAGTCCATTCCATCCAGCGGTCGACCCCACAGACGCATTCGTCAATTTTAACATGCTGTCCATTCAAAAAAATAATTTTCTCAAATGTAAATTAATATTATAATATATTAGCATATTGTGCATATATAGGCATAGATTAGGTTAGGTGTTTAGGTTCTGTTGGCGATTATTTGTATTTGTAGTACGTGGGTGAAGCATTTACAGCGTTGTGGTTCGAACACAAGTCGTCAGTGAAGCACTTGTTCCGGAAGTGTTCGGACGTCATCAGTTGTGAGTCAGCAAGTCCGCCAAACAGAGCCCCAAAGTCCATTCCATCCACCCGCCAAACCCCCAGCTGTTTATGAATGAAAAACGGTTTACACACGACTCACAACTGCTGACGTTCGAACACTTCCGGCACAACTGCTTCGAAAGCTGACGACTTCTGTTCGAACAGAACGAGCTGTAAATGCTTCACCCACGTACTACAAATACAAATAATCGCCAACGGAACCTAAACACCTAACCTAACCTAACCTAACCTAACCTATGTCTATATATGCACAATATGCTATTATAATATAATATTATTTTATATTTGAGAAAATTCCTGTTTTGAATTAACAAATTAAAATTGACGAATGCGTTTTTGGGGTCGACCGCTGGATGGAATGGCCTTGAGACGAGGACGGGTTGTCTGTTGTCCAACAGTAAACAGAGCCTGCCCAGCCAACAGTAAACAGAGCCTGCCCAGCCAACAGTAAACAGAGCCTGCCCAGCCAACAGTAAACAGAGCCTGCCCAGCCAACAGTAAACAGAGCCTGCCCAGCCAACAGTAAACAGAGCCTGCCCAGCCAACAGTAAACAGAGCCTGCCCAGCCAACAGTAAACAGAGCCTGCCCAGCCAACAGTAAACAGAGCCTGCCCAGCCAACAGTAAACAGAGCCTGCCCAGCCAACAGAAAACAGAGCCTGCCCAGCCAACAGTAAACAGAGCCTGCCCAGCCAACAGTAAACAGAGCCTGCCCAGCCAACAGTAAACAGAGCCTGCCCAGCCAACAGTAAACAGAGCCTGCCCAGCCAACAGTAAACAGAGCCTGCCCAGCCAACAGACAACAACAGATCGCCGCCTGCTCGAGGACGCTCCATAACGGGGACCTTCATATTACGTCTTCCGCTAAATCTGGTTAAAAGGTCGCTTATGTAACATTGAAGCA